TCTGGGGTTGGGTGAAAGCAGAAAGCAACAGATCCCAGTCTCAATGTACTATTTTGATAAGAGATTAGTGATAGACTCTTTTATGAAATTGGTTTGCTTTTTTAGCCTCCTATTCGTTTTCGGGGATGTGATGTCTGTGTAATCATAATTTTGGCCGACCCTGTAGATACCGTACTTCAACGCTTTCCCGTTGGATCGTTGCTCCTAATCGTTCCACATTTCTGTTTATTCTACTGTTGAAGAATCTTCCCAATTCTAACAAATCAGCCACCTCGCCCATCTAACACTTGGTTTCTTCGTGTAGCAAAGTCGGCTATCTAGGTTTTTTAAGGCAAGGCAACGCAACCGACACTTCAAGTACCAACCATAGTCTTAAAGGATGGAAACTTGGTTAATTTAGAGCAATGCAAGTATTGACGTCAACGTGTATTATTCCGAAGCACTGTTCTTTGCTCTCAATCTTAATACTAATCCCTTGGTGAAGATGTAGCCCTTTCCTTAGTGGATCAACTGTCTCAGCGACTTATTGGCGAGCAACCTTATTAGTCAACCTAAGTCCCGAATGTTATACCATATGTTGTCAACTGTCATATAATGTATATCCATGGCCCTGAATAAAGACCATAAGTCGAGATCCTCAGAATAATGATTGACCGATACGTTTGACGTCAATAATAGCGGAAAAAGATACGATCTTTTATTGAGTCACAAACCTCGACGAGAAGTAGTCGTAGTCTTCAATAATTGGACGAAATAAATCCATTTCTGTTCTCCTTTCATGGTGCTGACTTTTAGCAGTCCCTATCAGAGCTATAAACACTGTTTTGACCAACTCTACCATCTATGAAAATATTAAAAGGCCAACACCGTGAAGAACAAAAGGTTTGTGCAATTATTTCAAGTGGCTCATGTCTTCTAGGCTTTGTAAGCTGTTATCATTTTCTGTGATCCATTATTGCACCATTCATCACCCACTGATATAGCGAGGCTCCACTTCAGTCCTTACCAGCTGTTATTAGACCCAGTCGCCAACCATCTACGATCCAGACAAATCCCTTATCAGCCATCGAATGCATGTTGTTGAGAACATGGGAGTGATAGATCCATAGTGGCTCTTTCCTTTTTGGTTCCTTATCGCCTCTTATCAATTGTTATCACTTCCTGTCACCAACCGTTCACGATGCCGTCATATCCCACTTCACTAACTCCCCTCCCACATAAGTACGAAAATCCCGACATTGATATTAAAGGCGCAAGTGTTGAACAGGAAAAACAATGACCCACCAAAAGATGCACTTAGCGAACTTTATGGAAGATATTTATAATTATAGGGTAGATAGGGAAATCATTTCGTTCGTTCAGTGGCATGGCAGGACGTTACTGCTTAGCGAAAGTGAAAGTGACCTAATGAAACGCCTTTAAACACTGCAGTGGTTGCTTGATTTCCTCATTTGAATTACGATAAAGAAGGTTTTCGATAGCTGAGCAGTCTATTATGAGACCATCTAAAAAAGTGATAATCTTATGGTGACGATATCCCAAAGTTTTGCTGAGCTTTAAGCACGATCTTGTCCGGATCCCGGAAAACTGGACAACGGCATTCGAGACGGTGATGTTTTCGAATATCCACACACAGTGGTCTTCCATTGTCTTCCCGGCTTTTTATTGCTGGGCCCAGCGACGAGAAAATGCGAAAGCAATGGCGAATGGTCCGACGAACCGCCGATATGTCAAGGTGGGCTCTTGAATTATTTAGTGCTCCTTCCGTAACTCGAAGCCCTCCATCATGGTATTTGAGACGGAAGGGGACCCCCTTACGTGTGGAGCTCTCCCTACGTTAGATTCAAACTTGTATAGGCTTTTTGCACATTGGAAACTTTCCTGGCGAACCAACTGGATGTTGCAAAACGAACTTTGCCCAACACCTAATCTTCAACAATTTACAGCCACCGAATGCCCCCGTCCACCTGACCCCTTGCATGGACGGGTTCTTGGCACATCTCTCACCTACCAGTCCACTGTGACTTATTCTTGCAAAGAAGGTTATCGGCTGGTAGGGCAAGTACAGCGTATTTGTCTTGCCGAAGGCACCTGGGCAGGAGTAGAACCAAAATGCGAAGGTCAGTAGAGTTGATAAGTGGTTGTAAATGATGATGATTTCTTGAACTCTGTGTTCCAGAGATCCGGTGCCCAAATTTGCCCATGCTCAGTAACGGATATATCGAAGGTGGCGAAACCTACTATGGGGCTACTGCTACATTCAGGTGGGTTTTTCTGTCAATCTTGAACTTGTCCATGGTTTGCGCGATCCCGCTGTCAGCGTCTAAATCGTCAAAAAAGCCGATCACACGAAATGCTCGGTAAAATCGTATAACGGTAGCAGTATGTTGCTGAATATGTAGCTCGGAGACACTAAAATTTTTCTCAAAAGTAAATTACGAGATTCTCATCGGCATGTTCAACTAATTTTAGTTGTTATACAAAAAGATACCAGAAGATTACAGATGCCTCGAAACAATGACCCATGAAGGAGCAACTATGGCAAAGTGCATGGAATCCGGTCAATGGAGTCATCCGATGCCGCGATGCTTAGGTAAGGAACGAAATCTCGAGGCTATTGCTTTGTTATCCCGCTGCAATCGAGAAACGACGCCTGACGTCCACTGGAGGGAGAAGCTTGTGATAACTGTATTTGTAGCTTCATATTCAGCCATCACTGTCCTGACCGACTTTTTCTGTGGTAGGGTGGCAGTGCCTGAATACCTCTTAATAATAAAAAAAAAGCTGTTAGCTTGAAATTGGATTCGTGATCGGAGATGTCACAGATTTGCTATGTGATTCCTTACTTCTCCGGAAAAGAAAGCGTTTTCATGATCCCAGCACTTTATATCTGATCATGTGCTGTGCTTGTAGGGAAGGGTATATGTACATATAGTGAAGACAAGAAAACATTATGCACCACATGGTTAAAGGCACGGTTCGCAGTAAAAATGCTTACTGAGGTCTTTCCTTAGGAATTCTTAGTGGCCTCAAGGGTAATAGAAAGGACCCTCTTGCGCCCAAAAACTCGACGGCTAGGGCATAGTAGAAGCCCTGTTCCCAGCTCGCACAGCCTTCCCGCCCCTCGATGTCACGTCAGACGAGTGTCGAAGCGATACAGATTGCAAATTTTTGCTCTAGTACCCACACACAATCAGCTGATCGCCGAGGCGATGTTTTACTCACATTCTTTTTTCCTCTGTTATTCTTTTTACTGCCGCGATTCTTTTTCCTGCCGCTTTTTGATTTCCTCCCCCAAGAGCCTTCCCCAAGAGGATTGTGAAGGTGAGCTATTTTTACTGTTACTAGGGTTTTTTTGTTTCTTATGCTTGTAAGTGAATGAATTTTTGTTTACCATAGCCTGTTATTCGTACCAGGACCCGCACGTACGCAATGACCCACATTGTATAGCTCGTCCAAACGCCCCTTTCTTCTTCACTCTTGTGGTCTCATTCTCGTGCACCCCCTTTTTAAAGATTTTTCGGAAGCTTTTTCACTTTGGAAACACCGATTCACGCAGTTCCTTCGCGTTCATTGTACTATTTTCCATCTTATTTTCCATTATTCTTCATAATCTGTAAAAAATAAAAAAAATAATCTGAATCACCCAAAACTATCGTGAACTAAGCCTTTAAGGAACGTTTTTTCTTGGATGGGGTCTCGGGGGCACCTGTGTGGTAAATCATCTGTATGTTTCGAATTCCTATCGAGGCCGAAGTTTCGTGCATAAATCGCCGACCGTTGGAGAGCAAGTAGCAGGAAAAGCTAGCAGGAAAAGTCCGCATAATCAACAGGAATGAGTATGGCATGGTAGTTAACAGGAAGCTAGTTAGCGTCGTTAGTGAACCTCTTAGCCTTGATCTGTGCAGCCCACCTCAAACGTGGAGGCGCTGTGGTAGGAATCGACCTTCCAATTGAGCAATATCCTCCGAAATTAGTTCAAAGGACGAACGGAACTCTCTGCCGGTCGTATAAGGTGTTGTGAGGTGACTGACCGATCGAGCGGCTCAAAAACCTAAAGCCGCGACGAAAAATACACCTCAAGTTACTTGCTAGGCGCTTCCTCTGTGCCGATATCAAACCTTTTTGTCATCGCCCTTTGTTGTTGGCCTTTGTACATAGTTTTGTTTTGCATTTTAATAGGTATTCACATGAATTACAAACTTACCAGTTTTCTTCAAGAGAATCTTGAAGTCAGTCTGTTATTGATTTTTGAGGCTGAGGCACATAATTCACTGATAAGATTGAGAATGATCATGCTGAGATTAGCTGAGAATCGGTCACTATGTTTCAGCATTTCCTTGTTGGTAGGAAACTGTAACCCCACAGCAAGCCAAGGCAGAGCAAAAAGTGGTTTATGCGGGGACAACAAGGGTTTAAAACAATCCTTACGATCGCTGCCGCCTAATATCACCAGATCGACTACAAAGCTTATACTTATGCAAAATTGGATACTTTTGTTGTAAATGGAATTGGATGATACACGTATGTAAACGGCTCATATTGCTGTGGAGTGACTGAAATTTCCATCGAACATCCCTTCTATTCTTTATACAACTTCTTCCAACACTAGAAATAAACTAAATTTGAGAGGGCCTCACTATTAGAGATTTTCGTAGATTTTTATTTTCCATCCTAGGCATTTATTCAGCTTCAACACTTTCAGCCTTTACCTAGTAAAGGAATTCAAAGCTGTCGATCTTCGTCTTCAATGAGAATGCCTCATAGAATATTCGCTGACAGTATTTTCTCCTCTATAAACGGGAGCAATTCTTACAGGCTCATGCAGAATTCCACACATAGAAAATGGCCGCATCAAAGGCAAAGTGGAAAACCAGTTGATAGCTTCGGGTAAGTCATTTGGAACTTAGCGCTTCATCCTACCTCACCGAAAAGAGTTTGCTTATATTAAAATTGAAGTCATAGCTATGGTCCGATGAAGGGTTACCTCATTTCAAGAATGTTAACACAAAGAAAGCAGTAGACGGGTGGAGCACTTCAGGCAACCAAGCCCCATTTGTAGACAATGTCCTGTTGTTCCACGTAAACGCCAAGCCTACATTCCTTACTAGCCTTAGACTCCGCTCACCCTGATGGGTTGTAACCAGCTATGTCCGGCTTCACTGGCGTTAGAAAGGTGAAAGCGTACATTCACTTTATTTGTTCATGCCCAAAATAAATCCATTATGTAGTCACGAGAAGATCAGAGTGACCTTGGCCAATCAAGTGGCAACCACATTTCGGTAAACGTGTTGACGTAGATGTGCATCATGGGCCGAAAAAGGTGGTAGTCTAAAGGGGGAAAAAGTCGGGCGAATAGGGCGGATTAGACAAGACCTCTGAGTTCAGTCCCGCTAATTTTTGCAAAGTGTCTTGATATATAAGGTCTTGCGTTGTCCTTTAGCTGTATTGGCACCTTTCCATTGACGAGTGATGGGCGAAAGCCGCAACTTTCGGTACATTACTTCCGAATCGCGTGAATACAACTCTGCGAAAATGGTTCTTTCTGGTTCCAGGAAGCTGTGGTGGTTCGTACCGTAATGGGACCCAGATAGACAGAATTATCTTTTTTTGGGTGTTTTTTCAATTTGGGAAAGGTCGCAGCTGGGGAGGACCTGCTTGCCCAGACATATCCACGCCTTCTGTTATCGTACCGCAACCATTTTTCGTTGACAGTAATAATGCGGTCGAGAAATGGCTAATATTTTTTTGGTGTTGAAGCAGATTGCAATAAGTAGCATAACGTGCGATTTTTCTCACCCACTAGCTCATGCGGCACTCCCTTGTCCAATTTTTCGGCCTTCACATTTTGCTTCAAATGTCTTACCTTTGTTGCATGATGTACTGCTACTTTTCTCCCATCGCTCTTGGGTTGCTTGTTGAAATTGTTTTGAAGTCTGAAGCCTGAAGCATGGCCTCGTCCCCATTCATATGAAAACTTGACCCACGTAGATACTCAAAATTTCGGGAAGCACCAGAGAAGCTTATTTCTCGGAGCCGAAGCACAGTCGTTCAGAAAGATATGTGACCACATAGCTGTATGATCGTCCGCGCTCGTGTAGAAAATTATTGCGGCATGAAATCCACATTCATATTCGCGAGAACCTAATATTTCTATCACAAACAAATGTTCCATATAATCACCAGTGTTGTTTACAGTGTTGCTTTCAGTGTTGCTAAATACTCAGTTGTAAGCAAGGCATAGGTAAATACAGGCTCGTCTGTATGTGACTTGAATATTTTTTATTGTGCATCGTACTACTTTAGAACTACACTCAACTCTAAGACCAGTAGTAAATACGAGACCAATCTCATTCATCAATTTTTCTACTTATTATTCTCGCTCAGGAGCCACCGTGGAACTGATTTGTGATCAACGACATGAGGCTAACATGCAAACCCGAATGCAGTGTCATAACGGGACATGGAGTCACGTTCCAATCTGTTCACCATGTGAGGAACATTTTTACTGTCATACTGTTCACTGTAAATTATTAGTTTAAGGGATGAACCCCATAGACATGCGAGTGGAATCGTACCCTGACAATTGATGGAGGTTTTTGAATGTAGACGATTTAGATGCATTGGAGCCGAGCCTTTTCTGAATGTGCGTGGACAACCTTGTATACAAACGGGGTATTCTTTCTGTTTCCTCACTTCTTGACCCTTGGCACGGATTTCCTTCATTGAAGTTCTCTCTCACTGAAGGACCTCTTGCCGATTGGTGACGAGGTTTCTTGGCGCGACTTTTGCAATTCAGAACACATGGGTTAACCCGAGCTCTATCTTCGCCACCTACTAACTGACTTCAAGCAGGAACTTTCTATGAACCTTAAAGCTGAACAGAGAAGACTGTTCTTTTTTCAAGGTCGTGTCAATGTTTGTAACGCCAATTTCGGTTCCAGAAGAACGGTTGAAGAACTCCAAATCGGGGCTGATGGAACGGAGTGGGAAGAGCGTGGTGAAAGACTTTTTGTATTATCATCTCGGCCCACGCCATCCATGGTAATTCGCAGTCCCGAAAGCCCTCTCATTTGCGATGGTCGTAGGAGTCGGCATGTAGCCCGTTCCATGATTAAGAAGAACACATCATCTCCAATGAAAAATTTCGAGAAGAGGATTGGTGCTTGGTGCTGCCTAAACGCCAGCGGATTGAGTGTCTCTGAATGCTCTGGCTATGCATGTCGAGGTTGAGAAGTCAAGGGGTGAACGACCAAGCTCCGAAGCTGAACAGAAAGACGCGCGAGGCGTGGAGGGCATTTGAGAACGTCGACGGAGTAGTGAACAAGGCAAAGAACATCCGGCTCACTTTTCCGACATTGCTCGTGCTTCCAACTTTGACGTGAGCCTCGGAAACTTGGACTCTACGAAAGCAAGATGAACATGTTGTAAGCGTCGCTCAACGCGGTTCGGAAAGTACGAGGTTGGGAATTTCCCCATACACGTAAGGGCAGAAGGGAATCCAGAGTTGTGAGCTCCTTCAACGAACAAAGGTCAAGGATGCCGTTGCTTCCTCGAAGGAATCGAATATAAGGTGGACCGAGCACGTTATGTGATATTGTGATGACCGTTAGACCAAAGCGGTTACCGACTGGATCTCCCGGTTGGTCTGACAGCCTGTGCGCTGTTTCGTACTTTTCAGCGAGACTATGGAAGAGAGAATGCTATGACTCGCGTTTTCGAGCGGACCGCTCTAGCAACGATTCACAGCTCCGCTTCCACCATCATACAAACCTCCTCTCTAACACTTTCCTCCTTACTAAATTTGCAGCAGCTGACAGCTTTCGAAATTTCGAGGGATACACCAACTAACTAACAAACCAGTAAATTTTCAGTAACTGATTTCATTAATTTCAATTTGCTGGCTCGTATATGCAATGGGAAATTCGATGTGTTCAATGAACAAGGTTGCTTTTTCAGTGAATTGCCATGACTGGCCGCCTCGTGTCGCTCATGCTCGTGTGTTGTTCTCAAAATCGTCTCACGGAGCAATAGCTAAGTATGAATGCAATGGAGGGTATGGAATTTGTCTAACTTACTCAACTTATTAGTAACGTGATGAGCATACCAAGACACCCCTCGTTGACTTCCGATTTGAAAGGTGAAGCAAAACAAAGCGAAAAGTAATCATATCATAAGGCAACTCAGAAAAGGGTGGTTGCATAGTCTTCCCTGATCTTTTCCATACAAATCTGAACAGGCAGAGTAATTCATAAACCTTGTCTCTAAGCCCGTACTACCTTTCTTCATTTTTTTCAGATTTTATGTCCTTCTGAGTTCCTTAGAACAGTTTACCAGTTTACCGTTTCCACATTCACAACTTGGGAGCCCTGAGAGATGAGAAATCTCAATTTGAGCTGAGTGTTGTTATTTTGTCGGCTTACGCGATCCGAAATTCTCTAAGGTAGGAGGATTATCATCAAAACTTCGGCCTCGTATCGTACAATTTGACAAGACACATCCTCATCTGCTTTAGCCGTGCTGTGATCACACTAGCGGTGTCGGGTAGTATAAGAAGGCATGAAGTAATGCGTTCGAATATTCCCTGCTGCAAACATCCATGAAACGAATTCTAGCTATTCCAGTCTCTGAATTTTCAGATACTATCCGAACAAGGAAAAACAGACCATCAAATGTCTTTTCGGGCAATGGACCAGAGAAGGAGGACCTCTCAAGTGTTTGCCAAGTACGTTCCATTTATACTGGCTCCATACTTCCCCTTATTATCGGTCGTTTTAAGATGGCATCTCGCATTATTGTATTAGGTTGGAAGGAAAGTCCTGCGACACAATGAAGGTCTTTTTCAAATTATTTCTGGAATTTTC